TACGAGTCAGCATGGCTGGGGGACACTTGTGTACAAGGTCAGAAACGGGACTCTGGTCGTGTCTGGAGATCTCCTCGCACCACCAGAGCATTTTCAACATCTATTAGGGGAGCTCCCGGCGTTGCCCCCTGCCAACACAGAATTTGAAACATGAGCGAAGGCCACATTTTCACTATGGAGCTCCGCCCCGGCGTCGAGACCATGACGAATGGCTTCATCGCTGCGAGAAGTTACAACTTCTTTGACAAGCGGTGGTATATTGTCTTTGCGTCCGCTGGGGACAGCAAACAAGTGCATGAGCACCCAGCTTCCATAGACACCCGTTGCCATGCGATATACCGCTACCGAAGGTCACCTCAGAGAACCGCAACGCGCCGGAAGCTACTGTCAGTACAGAGTTATTAGGAGACTACTTGACTCAGGTGCTTTGCTTGGAGCGACTGCGTAAAGCAATGGACCCTTCAACCACATGCTCGCAAAGACGGCCATGATGAAGCTTTCACATACTCTGCCGGGTGAGGTGCCCTTTCTCGCAGACATTTGGAGCCGGCGTGAGCTTCGAAACGCACACATCGCACAGGATACATATGCCGCCTATATGCGCTATGGCAGCGTGAATTTCGGCCAGGATCGGGCGTTGGAGCCGGTTGAAGTCGGCATCGATACAGACGGCGTATTGCGGACTGATTGCTGGGGCAGATCATGGTGAACTTACTGGTTGATAGCACGTATTCGAGAGATGGCGTCTACGGGTCTCGTCCGCCGCCGCACAGCAGGGCAGTTGCTGCTGTTGAACGATACGAAAGACACAGAGACGGTAAGGGAGACTCGAACGAGCGAAACTGGTATTTCGTTTCTACGTTGACTTTCAATGCGAAACGGATACAAAATATGGTGCTTGCCTCGTCCTCTCTACGCCCACCCAAGCGTGATGGCCATCGACGTTTGCGCGAGGGGAATACCGGCGCCTCTCCGCCTCGCCCGTCCGCTCACATTTGCATATAGTCTCGGGGCGCGTGAGCTGCGCAATGCGGCATTGTCGCAAACTTCACATGCTTTGTGACCGTGGCGTTACTTACTGCCCAAGCGTGCCATTCTATTGACTCATAGGATGAGAGATCGCAACTCATTCCTGGTACGTCCGTAGACATGCGGGACCTGCACGAACAGGTTGGGGGCATGGCGGTAGAGAAGAGGCTGACGCTCAAGATGTATTCCGTGATGACCGTTGAGAGGCAGGAGCTTAGGCGTGCTTGCGTGCCTCAAGGCCTGGCGAAATACCACACGCTTGAGGTCGCAACTGAAGCGGGATACGTGCGTCTTGCTACTGTTTTCTTGTAAACTATGATGCACATTGACCTTTGTCCGACACCGAGGTTGCATCAATTCTATCCCAGGTGAGAGCCACATTTTGAAACCAATACGCCTGTAGTTACTTAGCACGACTGCGAAGGTGATGGCGGCTATAGAATATCTCGTTCAGCAACGCGTTGCGTTTCGTATTGAAGCAATTCGGGTGTCTGCGAGTGGCGTGGTCAAAATAGGTATGAAGGTGATCATACGAGTAAGATACGATGACTGATGCATCCTAGTCCCAGATTGGAACTTCGAGTCGACTATAGACAGTACAATGTGGCATGCCAATTTGGCTTACGTGGCTTCACATTTGGAGAGTGTTGCCACCGGCTTAGCTGTTGGAAACAGGCTTGACCCTTCATTCATGGAAGAACTGAAATTGGGGCTTTTGCCGAGTAGTGACGTACGGATAAGTAAAACTCCATGCCAATGGCTGGCTACGGCTACTGATCAAATAATAGCACCCGTTTATATCACATCTAAACGACCCTGTCTTGCTGAAAGACGCCTGCAGGTTTGCACTTCGGAAACAGCTCATCTCTGCACGGTGCTGTAGCGTTGCTTCGTCAGGCTTGAGGATGAACTAGCTGGCTAGATTAGCAGCCCAAATGCACCTCAAGTCCACGACACTTGCATGATATCAGTCAAGAAACCTTTTCTCTTCAGACGCAAATTTAGTCAAAAATCAACCTGACTACTAGCACAAGAGCAAATAAAAGCGCTACTGTTGGGCCTAGGGTTATCGAAGCACTGTTGTCTATGGGCGGGGTTAGAGACGGAGTTGTTGACGGTGGGTTAACGACTGATGGCCGGAAGGCGGTGTGATTTGCCGGAATACCGCTTGAAGCCGGCCTGCTCGAAGCCGAAGGAGAGAAGGAGATTCTCGTCTTCTTTCATGCAATCGAAAAGGAACCGTTCGATCTTTTGGGTCCTACACATCAACGGCTGGTCATGCATTGCCTGAGCGAAGTGGCGGAGTTGCCAATTCGATCGAGCCTAGAAGCAAGGCTATCGCAGTGGCTGCTCTTCGAATGTGACTTGACAGGATCCTCATTATTGGCGACGGAATCGGAGCTTCCAGACGGAGCCCTGCAGGATGCCCTGAAGCGTGCTTCCGGCCGCGGAAGAGTGACGATTCTGAGAGCACTAGAACGTCCTGGCAGACACGTATCTGAGGCGACGCGGACGGCGCTCGTGGCGCTGTTCAAGGACGAGGACGAGGACATCCGCTCCAGCGCCGCCGACGCCTTAGGACGCCAGTCGGACCTACCAGAGACGACGGTAACGACGCTGGCGGCGCTGCTCAACGACGAGGACAAATACATCCGCCACCGCGCCGCCGNTACCAGAGACGACGGTAACGACGCTGGCGGCGCTGCTCAACGACGAGGACAAATACATCCGCCACCGCGCCGCCGTGGTCTTAGGACGCCAGTCGAACGTACCAGAAACGACGGTAGCGGCGCTGGTGGCGCTGCTAAACGACGAGGATAAAGATGCCCGCTTCCGCGCCGCCAACGCCTTAGGACGCCAGTCGAACCTACCAGAGACGACGGTAACGACGCTGGCGGCGCTGCTCAACGACGAGGACAAAGACATCCGCCACGGCGCCGTCGTGGCCTTAGGAAGCCAGTCGACACTACCAGAGACGACGGTAGCGGGTACACGCGCCAGTCTTGCGGCCAAGCGCTCGTGTGCTTACTGGGTGAAGTTGAGACCAGTGGAGCCAGAGCCGAGAGTGGTGATCAGGTCGTTCTCCTTGGTGGTTTTGGTCTGGATGTCGTCGGGGAGATAGTAGGCGTTGTTGCAAGGGAAGACCTCGCAGCCAGACATGGGGGCCTGGGCGCTCTTGGGCCACATCTGCTTGACATTGTCCTGGTCCTTGGGGTCGACGATTGCAGAGACATCGAAGTATGTCAGGCCGCCCCAGCTGCCGAAGTTGATCTCCCCGAGCATGCCGGGCTTGTTTTCGGCGCCGTCCTGGACGGCGTAGAAGTTGCCAACCCACACATCGGGGAACTCAACCGTCTTCTTCTTGGCGTTACTGACTGTGACGGGAGGGATCGTGGAGGAGCCAGAGCCCTCGTTAGCGGTAAAGTAAATGGTGCGGGTCTTGTTGTCCAGGGTCCAGAAGGTGACGCTGGCGGCGTTGGCAACGGCCGATGTGGCAGCAAGGGCCAGAGCAGAGGCAGCGAGATGCATTTTGAATGGTTGGTTTGGGGTGGTTGGAAGGACTGTGGTCTCCAGTGTATGTGCTCAAGCGACGTCAAGAAGAGACTGGATACCGGTCAGACGGGCCGTAGCCGCTGTACGTACTCGTTGCTTTCAAGGAATGAAGAAGCGTAAGGACTTGGATGAAGGAATGATAGTCTGAAGCCAGAGAAAGACTGGTGGGACAGAATGACTGTTGCTGAAGAGGAGATCCATCGTGCCGCGGAGGAAGGGCAGGGCTGCCTTATAACGTTGCCGCCCCCTTGGGCAGATGGCGTGGCACGGACATAGCTGCACAAGAAATTGCATCGTGGGTCACTATGACCAGAGGCAGTTCGAGAACCCGCACGAAGGGTGCAATCAAAGACTGGATCAACATGGTACCTGATCCGCGGCCGATACCAGCAGCCAGTAGCAGGGCATCGACGGCGCAGAGTCCGCAATTCCAACCAACCCCCCCCCCCCCAATGCGCGGCCACCGAAAACCCCGGCAGGCTGTGGCGGCCGTATAGCCTTGGCAAGTGTCCAATTATGCCCCTCCAGAACCAGCGATGATGACGCGGCCAGGAGGGTCCGCCGCACAAGGTACCGCAGAGCGTTATGATACACTACAGTTCGCCCAAATTGTGCTCTGCGCACATCGGTGCGAGTATCCCATGCCCAGAATATCTATTAGTTGAAGGTACCTATGCTAGCATTACACGATACCATCACAGGAGATAGCTCTGGAACCACCGGCGTTGCTGCTTGCGCTCGAGGCGATTCGACCCAAGTCAAGCCTCTTGCAGATTTCTTCTTGTTGAAATTCCAGGCTACTGTAGCATAGAACATGTGCAAAAACATCAGCAGTCAGCAGCGTCAGCTGTGTATAGTAATAATGCCAATAAAATAGCTCAGAATGATAAAATTTTGCCCTTGAACCAATGTCCGCGTGAACAACGAGTGTTGTTGGGGCCGAAGTATTAATACCCAGTTCAGATCACCAACGCCGCAAGCCCAGCGAGGGCAAGAGCGCCGAAACTGGTACTGGCTCGGCCTGCAGCTGCGGTCGGGACGGTGGATGGACGCCGTGTTGCCGAAGGTGAGATTGTACCAGGACGTGTTTGAGATGCAGTTACAACGGTGCTAGTGCGATTGACACGGCTAGACAAGGACGAGATTGTCCCAGAGCGGGAAGCCGAAGAAGGTGCAACTGGACCCGAAGTCGTACGCCGAGACTGCTGCAGTGTCAATATGTGACCGGATGTCAAGGTACTGGGAAGGATTTGCATACGCTGGATATCTCCCGGGCGGTTGTTCCTGGTTTAGATACGATGGTGCAGGGACAATCTGCCCGCCAGTGGTTAGTGAAGCCACCCATGAGCTTAGCTATGAGATTGTGGAGCACGTACTGGTGATTGTCAAAGTCGTCGGTTTGGTGACCGTGTAAGTGACATTCCCAACAGGGATGGTCGTGGGGTGCTTCCGAAAGTCATGTTAGCTCACACCGTTGCTCTGTTGTTGCCGAAACCTTCGAGCCAGGCATACCGGACAATAGGTTGTGTAGTAAGAATTGGTGATTGTCGTATACTGTGTTACCCCAATGCCTTTGTGTATGGTGGAACTCAAAGAGCAGGTATCGTTCCCAGGCGTTGTGCGTGCCAACCCAGTGAAGGTCGCAGCCAGGGCAAGCAGGTGAGTGAGCCTCATTGCGATGAGCGATTGTCAATGTGAAAGCGAGTGAAGTTAGTTGACCCTTAGTGCAGGTGCTGTTTGGAATAAACCGAGCATAGTAACAACGCGGGCGGCGGAGAAGACACGTCCTCAAGTAGTCCTGCCGTGGGTCACAAAAAACAAGTCCCGCAAAGTATGGGGCGTTATACGAGCCCCCCCCCCCCCATCGGTGGGCCCAACGTCACCGCAACGTGGCTCGTTGCCCGCAGCATGCGCAGGTCTTGGTACCTGTGTCGACCCAATTGTGCTCGGCGGGGTCTGTGCCCTAACCGGGAAGATCAGCGAGCGGAACCGTGCCACGCATGAAAGTAGTAAGGTCTCTGCGGGAAGGAATCGGAGTGGAAACGTCTCCGTCGTCCGCCGGTTGGGACACCCAAGCCAAACGACAATTAGCCGAAATAGGAAAGGCCCAACTTAAACTTGGATGCTAGCGTGATTCCATGATCAGCAATCATCCGCGCTCGACGATCCTTCAGAGACCCCTGCGCCAAGCCACCTGCGCAGTCCGCAGCTTTGTCAGGGGCTGTGGGGATTGTACCCGTACGTAGGCGTTCGTGTCGTGTCATGCCGCCAGCAGCAGCAGGGCCTGTGACAGGGCTGTTGGGCTCGGCTCGGAGCCACCAATGCGGATGTTGGCATCGCCACAACCAGAAACAGCTGCCATGGGCCGCAGCACACTCCAGAAGGTCAACTGAACAGCCCGTTCCCGTCACAGGCCACCGGCTGAAGACTCATTCGGTCCATTTGGATCAAGGATAGTCCGATACGGCACTGTTCCATTCAGGAGTTAACCGACTATCGAAACTACAATACAGTGTTGTCTTGGCTAGAATGACACAAAGATCAGCATGAGAACCAGGCTTGAGGACTACACATCAGGACCCTGGTGGCGCAAACCCACGGCATGGAGGGGACTTGCTGTTGGTGGCGGTGTCGGCCACACTTTGGTCGCTGCACTAGAGCGTCGCAGATTATCGACGAAGGCTTTTTCAACACGGTCACGACTACCCCCTCGGCCGATCGGCTCGCCGTGGCACCCGCGCCGATTGGATGGAGGCTAATGAGACCACAGAAGCTAACGAGGTCCTACCAGCTGCTGGTGGGATATGTGAGGACAAGGGCTTCTGTTTGCTCGCATCGTCGACGGAGCAAACTTGCGAGGGAGGCGGCGTTGTGAATGCGAAATGCCTAACATCTTCCACAGACGGCCTCTACCATGTCTCCCCAACAGTGACATCGGAGGTCCTGAACGTCACACAGATGCGGGCCCCCGGGGTTCCTTCACCCCATCTAGGGTATTTTTATGGTTGTTCAGTCACACGCGGGAACGTTCCAGTGGCGTTTGCATCAGTGGTGGCAGCAGGGTATGTCCAAGGTACAGCTCCGCTGAGCTACTACCAGTATTGTTTCCCGCCATTGGATGAGATGTCTTGGCCGCGGTGTCTCCCAGCTGGAGGATGAGAAACTGCTGCTCCACCCCGATGAGGAGAGGAGTGAAAGACGCTGTGGGCAGCCAATAGGGGAGGCGAGACTTCTGTGCTGCCATCAGATGTTCGAAATGCTTGTCAACACAGCGACTTTAGATCTCAACATAGAGTAATATATCGGTCAGTGCACATGCGCCACCTTACAGTACCTTGGCAGTTGCTATAGGGCAGTTTCAAGTTTCGATAGCTGCATCACTCGCACTTGTCATTGCACGTGTCAAGATCAAGTCGCTCACTCATAGCAGCCAGGCAGCACGACCCTGTCTGGAAGGCAACAGCCGCTGCCTTGCAGGCAGCAGCTGCCAGCAGCCATATTCTGAAGTATATAGTCTCATGATTGTCCACTTCTTATAGGGAGCAAGAGTCTTTTGTTGCCCAATTCGCTGGGGACCTTCTGCCTGGTCGTCAGTCAGCTATGCGCGCGTGCAGTGCGACAGCACGCCACAGGACCCGCCGCCATGACAAGCCGAGCTGGTTGCAGATCAGCGCGCCACGAGTTAGCCCTATAGAGACACCCAGCTGTGGACGCGTGGCGCTATGGGAAAGGCCGGCGCACGCATGGCACCCGACATCCGTTTTGGCTTGCCCCTGTCCATGACACGAGAATCCGCAGGCCCCCCACAGTTTTGAGGTCTGCTAGTTACTCAACCCCGAATGCATCACGTTTCATGGCGCAGCCCATTCAAGCCAAGGACCGCACGAGTACGTCCAAGACCACGCCACTCAATGCCCACAGGTGAGGACTGGACCCGTGAACGCAAGTCCCTGTCACGTGCTCCCGGATACGGCGTCTTTGTCACCAATGCTCGTGGTAGGGGTGTTGACGCAACCCCTTGGCTACGATGTACAACCGGTGTTCAACAGTGGAGGCATAGTGCCATGCCACTTGGGATCATCGACGTATGTAACGCTTTCTCATACAATGAGCGTTATTAGCACCTCAGCTATTATCCAGCCAGCGTACCAGCAAGTGATTCGCAGCAGCTAACCACGATGAGAGCAGGTAATGTATGCAGGGCAGCAGGGCAACGCAAGGAAATCTTATGTGCTATCAGGTAAACAGCACCAGTACGTGCTTAGCTTTGTGTCAGTTGCCGCCGTAGTGCACTCTGGGTTGGAAGGGAGAATTATTGACAAAGAGAGGTTGGTCGAGCTGGCCGCAGGGGCGTGGGCACAGGCTGCCTGTGGCGCCATTGGCTCAGCTATTCGTGTGTGGACGCATACGATCACAATGCCCGCCTGACGCCGTTAGGTCGTATATGCCCTCGCGGTGCCTTATCGTACGTCCTTCTCCGCAGAGGACTTCCACGACCCCCGTTCGGCCGCCCCTCGAAGGGAAAAGAAACAGTCTCTCCATGCCGAGAGCACGCAAACTTGAAAACACATCCTCCAAACGTGCACTCCCATACAAGGTACCGCCTTACAGGAGCAAGGCACCCAGGAGAGTGAAGCCGACCGCCAGGCCGGAAACAAGGATGGGGACCTTGTCGATACCACTGTGGACGGAAGTACCAGCATTGTCCTTGCCACCCGAGCCGCTGGCCGTGGGAGAAGCCTGGCCACCAGTCACGCCGGCAGTGGAGGTGCCACTGTCGCCCGCGTTCTGCGAACCGTCACCCCCGAGACCGGGACCCTTGCCAGCACCGTTTTTCATGTACTTTTGCGCTTGGCTGGGCATCTCAGGAACGAGCGTGGGGTTGACGTTCCATCCGGCGTCCGACGTCGGGCAGTCAACAGCATGTGTCGTGCTGGCAGCGCCGCCAGATCCTGTGGGCATTGGGTTGACCTTGAGGGCGCTCTTGTAAAGGTCGAATTCATCCGAGTTCTTGATCGTGTCGCCCTTGATGGTGACGATACCGAAGTCGTTGTCCTCGACAGAGTACTCGTACATGAGGCCACCAGAGTAGACACCCGTCATCTGGTCGCTCATGAGAGCCACAATCTCTTCGAACTTGCGGGGGCGGTTCTTGATGCAGCCCCACTCAGACAGGCTGGAACTATTAGCAGGGCTCGCATGACGCGCGAGATCAAGACGTGCTTACAAAATCGGCAGACCGTAATCGGTGAAGTTCTTAACTTTCTGGTCCCAGCCGGCCGTCTTGAAGTCGCTGTTGCACCAGGAATAGTCATTGAAGGCAAAGAAGTCGGAGCGCATGTCGTCGGAGCCGCAGTTCATGTACATGGCCGTCTGCATGCGGTTGGAGGCAACGTCGGCAGCCGAGTAACCAACAGGAATCTTGCGGAGACCACGGGAGTTGATGTAGTTCTTCATGTCGCGAGTGACGGCCTTGACATAGGGAGCCGATTTGTCGGTGTCTTTCTCGTCGTTGATAACCTCATTGCCCGAGAAGAAGGCGAGCGTATTTTCGTACTTGGCGAACATTTCGACTGTGGCGAAGACGCTCTGAAGGTACTTGGTATTGTACGACGGTCCAGGCTTCAGTCGGTTGATCGCGTACTGGGGGTTATTGACGTCGAGCACGAGGTAGATGCCAGCATCCTTCAGGGATTTCATGCACTGGTCGTGGTCCTTGGAGTTGTCGACGGCATAGACACGGATAGTGTTAACGCCGAGATCTTTGAACTGCTTAATGTCGCGCTCGCACTGCTTGGGGTCTGCGAGAGGGTCCGCGTTGGCGGAGGCACCGCCGGGCTGGTAGTCGATACCACGGATATAGAATCGGTCCTTGCCAATCCAGAAAGCTGCACATTGCCAGTCAGTACGACGACGGCTCGAAGGTGGGGGAAGCGGAGAGGACTCACCATTGCCAGAGGCAGAGACTATAGGAAGGTTGGCGCGCTTGTTGGGAGCCTGCTCCTGAGTCTTTGTGGGAGACGCGGAAACGGTGCCAATGGCCGCGAGGGCCGAGACGAGCGTGTATCCCTTCATTACGGCTCGGCAGGAGTATGGGTGCAAAGATACAACGAGATCAGTCTACAATGGAGAGCTCGTATGGAGAGTGGACAATGTGAATAGTCGCTGGAGAGTGTATGAATAAATAGCGAGACCAAGCCCCGAGAGAGTGGAGGGGGAGGGCAGAGAAGATGAGCGAAGAATTAGAATGGTCTTCAGAAGGTAAAAGGGCCAACAACGAGGGCGTCGGATTGGATTCGGATTAACAAGAGAAGGAACTCTTGAACGGGGCCTGTAGTGGACGGAAGGGGAGGAAAGAAGAGGTCGCGAGAGGAGATAGGGAGTCGCAGGTAGGAGTAGCCAGGGCATCGATGGCCGCGACGGGATGGGCCGCATGGGCGGCTGCCTGGCACGTGGAACACAGAAAGAGCCAGGGCGTGGCTGTTTGTGTGATTCACGGCGAATTGACTTTAACGACACCATGGGCCGTCGGGGGCTGGTAGTAACACTACGAAACCCACCATGGGCATGTTCGATGCAACCACGGCGGTCCTGCACAGGCCAGGCACCCTTGAAAGATTGGAGGAATCCGGCGGCTCCAGCTGCAACGGGGACCTTTTTGGGGCCTCTGAGAAAGCACAGCGAATACACGGGTAGATGGTCTACTGAATGTGACGCTAAACGCAGAGTTAGATGGGGGCGTTTTCATATTGAATGTCCGTGGCCAACGGCAATGATCCAATGCGTCGAGGCTACTGTCGCCTTGCGTCGCCTTGGTACTGCTCCCACGGGCCGATTGACGAGCAGCTCCCTCGACAAAGGGCTCTGGCTGTAGCTTCCTGCCGACAGATCTGGCGTTGGTGAGAAGAGATGAAGGGAGGTGCAAGTGACAGCAGGTAACAACCACCAACAAGCAGCTGGCCAGGCCAGGCGGGACGGGACACGGAGGATCGTGTGCGAGGTGAGCTGCGTGTGCCGGCACAGGGAGGTCAGGAAGGTACTCCGTCCTTCATCAGGCCCTCGCTTTCACTGAAACGCCCATCCAGAAAGTTGATTGGAGTGCGCCAAGCGGGATCTGCACACTGGCCGGCAAGCTGTCCCACAACCTTGGGCCACTCCCTCATGGCGCCCAGCGCCACTGCCCCGTATCCAAACAGCCCCGCTCGGCCTCTCTTGAGATCCATCTCTCGACACCACGTCACCTGCGACCACCGCATGGCACGCCCCTTGCTCGTGTTCCGTTGCACCGCCTCGCTCGTGTCATGTGCTCGACTTGGGTTATAGTCCGCATTCTCCGTACGTACAGCACGGATTTGACCGTGGCTGCTTTCGGCCACCGAGGGGCCACCCACTGCGATCCCGTACCGAGAGCCAGGTACACCAGCAAATGGGAAGGGAAGCCCAAGTGCTTGACGCGTCCAACAGTGCCTTGCTCAGCCATCTAGAACCCCGTGTTTTTGAGGTTGGAAGGCAAACGCCAACCACGCGCCCCCTTTGTTGACCGTGCCGCGCGGTGCTATTCCTGCATCTTCTGGGCATGGTGCAAATACCGATAGGCAGGTACAATGGGACCTGGAGTCATGACGGGGCCTTGCCAGCATCAGGGCTCCGACCTCAAACAAGCGCCCCATACAGGGTCCCTTGGGCAGGGCTTGGCGAGAGATTCCGTAGCAGCGCGCCAAACCTCGTACACCCATGGGTGACAGGGACAACCAGGACAAAACCCCCTTTACCGTTTCGTTTTATGCTCGGACGCCAGGAGTCAACGCAAATAAATGCTGGTCATACCGCCCGGAGGGCATTCCCTTGAGTGCCACAGCGCTAAGGTATTTACGACCGGCGGCCGGGGCTGGGGAGGGCGGTGGAGATGCCGATGTCGGCAACAACGGCGGCGCCGTCGAAAACAAGACGAGCCAGTTTTTGATGAGAGTGGCGAATCGTATATTCACAGAGAGGCCTCTGTCGCAAGTCGAAGTCGTAGCCCATCTTCTGGGCTACCCGAGCGAGTTCACCAACGCCAGCTCCTGGGCGTACCTGAACGTATCTGTGCTCTACTGGCACGTCTTCCGACGGTGGCGGCATCTGCGCCAAACGAGCGGCGCAGCGGACACAGACAGTCCCGTGGACGAGTCGGTCGTCGTGGAGGAATCGGGCCAAAGAATCAGTTTCGCCGAAGCTTATCACCATCGTGGAGATGTCCTGCGAGATCTGTGCCTATACGACTATGTTTCGCTCGTCAGGCTCCAACGCGTTGGCAAGGAGGGAAGCTCCGGTGGTTGGGGAGAGGTGCTGTTCGAAAGCGGCTGGTCGCCGGGAAAGGACTGGGTGCAGTTGCTAAGACGGAAAGCATGCCGTAGTCTGCCTTGACGGGTACTTGAGCAAGGATTTTGACCAGGACGAGGAGGCGGCGTGCCATCGTAGGTACGCCCGGCGACGATCCGGATGAAAAACCGTTTGTGGCGACTAACCCTGAACTTGCAGAGCGGCTGTGCAACATCTTTTCCTGTTTGTACCATGGGAGTCCTTTCTATACGAAGAAGATGGCGACACCAACGACATATGGGCGCGAGCAAGAGAGACGCTGCCCCCGAGGATCTCGTGCCTCGTCGGTAACGTCCAGTTGCTTCGACGATCTGCCGAAGACGCCAAACGCGATGCCAAGCAATGGGCATCCTCATCCGGGGGTCGGGGACGTCGTGCACGAAATTTAATGTTTCTTCCCCTCCATTGCAATAAAATTCGAATC